CCTCCCTCCCTCCCTCCCTCCCTCCCCCCCTCCGTACACATGCAAACAAAAATACACACACACATACACACACACACACACACACACATGTTCAGCAGACACATAAGTTCAGCTGACAAACAAATGCTAAAATATTCAAAAGAAAGCTTTGGGTTGAAAAGAAGTAATTCTGAAATTTTTGTTTGAGGCCACATATTTTTATATCACTGAAGAAAAAATGTAAACCACAGCTGAAAGAGTGCAGTTGGTATTAATAATACTGGACAGCCTTTTTTTCTCCCAAAATTTTTTGCTTCCTGAAAAAATTCTGGTGATTATGATAGACGAACTGAACACAAGTATAATTTCAGAATGACTGTAGAACTATTACATTAACTTTTAATAAGTATAATGTATTTAATCACATAATGTTTCTGGCACATTGCATGGGTCAAATGAGAGTTTTGCTGATTATTTTTGTTTGTATGCAGTGTCCGATGCATTTTATTGTAGTATCCAACCAGCATTGTGGAAATCCAGTTGCCCTGATACCATTTTTTTCCATTATGGCAATGTCCTGGGTGAAACCTTTCACCATGTTCATCATTGACTGCATTGAGTTTTTCAGAAAAGAAGCCCAAGTATGAATGCAGAAAATGAATCTTCAGTGGCACATTGCACTTCATGGTCCTGTGTGCTGTAAGAAGTTTATCGACCAGCTGAATGGAGTTTAGTGTCCTGTAGTTGCCCAAAAAAAATGTTCAACAACATCCTTCAATGCTTTTCAGACAATTTTCAATATTTTTTCTCTGGCCCCACTACAAGCCCTCAAACCTTTTGTCATTAATAATGTATCTGATCTGTGGAGCAACTAAAATACATTTTTAATCTTGGCATCAGTCATTATTGGAAACATCAGTCTCATTGAAAACCTTCACCTTCCTTGTTCACTGCTTTCACAACACTTTTCATTGGTCAGAGGTTTTTTTGTGAAGCAGAGACAATATCTTTGTCAGGTCAACAAGTGATTCATATGCCATGTTTTTCTGTCGGGGAATCAAATTCCTTCTTAGTGGCCATTTCGTTTTCATGTAATGTGACTTTCTTACACAGCTGTCCCATTTGCATATGTAGCAACAACACTTGGTATATATCCAAAATGCATTCCAAGCAGCAGAACCACTACTTTTAGATTGCCAATGTTATTTATTTATTAAATTTGTTGCCCACTCTTCTTATCACAGAGTAACTCTAGGCAGCTTACAATATTAAAAGGATAAAACTATACAACACCTACAAACAATGCAGATAAAATACTATAAAAATACAAATATTTGTGTTCCACTTGGTGTACTGGATGTACATCAACAACTAATTCCATGGTTTTGGTTCTGGGTTTTTTCATGAGTTCAGTATAACCAACAGGTACCGAACCTTGCCATTGTGTAACAACAGAAGATTTATTTAAACAGTATGTGATAAGTTAAATTACAGATTATTTTTGTGATTAACAGCCAAAAATCTATAAGATACACCCAAAAGGATTCAGGAAGCAAAATCTTTGTTGTCAAGTGTAATAATAGAATCTTCATAAATAAATGTAAATAAAGATGAGTTCACAACTGTAAATTGTAATAAAATATGGAAGCTATGAACACAAGTTATTAGGGAATAAGAGGGAAATCCCCGCGTATACAAAGCATCACTCCCTGGGATTACATGGTAGCTGTAGAAGTACAAGAATCTTTTTTTGTAATTTTAGGAAGACATAGTTGCTTTAAAGAGTTGCAAAGAAGTGCTGTGCTTCTGCTCCTGTATTCCTCAACAGGCCTGCTTTGATTTGTTCCTGAAGTACAGTACTACACAGTCTTGAGAATTAAATGTATACAAAATGGATTTATTTCTGAAATGAATGTTTTCCCATGATCCAAGTATACATTTTTCAAAGTATATCATCCAACCCAAGAAGTATATTTTTCTCAGAGGAAAAAGAATATTCCAAATTTCTTTGAGCTTATCAACCAAAGGATATAGGGAAGGACATATGTCAAATGAAAGCAACAAGAAAATGGTATTTAGCTGAGATTCGAATTTAAAACTCCAGTGATGGATCATGCTTGTTTAGTTAGGAGACATATCCTGCAATATAAGTTGGGCAGTGCAAGAAAACTTCAGTAAATATTATAAATCACACTAACCTAATGTTACTTTTAATTGTATTCTTCCTTCGTAGATACATACTTGAGAAAGGCATGAGTACCCCAGGATTGCTTTAGCCCCTTTTTTTAACTATTAGCAACTTTCCTTGTCTTAAGGTGGCCTCTAATTTTATTTTCCTTATTGTTTTTAAAGGTGAGAATGCAGGAAGAGACCGCTTTTCTGAACAAGAGAATTATCTCTCAAATAGGGATGCCACCAGTTCCTGAAAGTTCCAGTGCAGCAATTCCTCCTTTTCAAGATACTGTATGCAATTTACAACAAAGGACAGAACCATCTGTAGGACAACAGGCAAAGGACATCAATTTAGCTGCCCAGAGTGATGGTTCAGTTGATGCCATCTACAAAGCAGTGGTAGATGCTGCAGGCAAGGGGATGCAAGTAGTCATCACCACGGCGGTTAACAGTACCACCCAAATGAGCCCTATTCCAGCTCTGAGTGCCATGAGTGCCTTTACAGCCTCAATTGGTGATCCATTAAATCTTTCCAGTGCTGTCAATGCAGTAATACACGGACGGAATATTGGCATTTCTGACCATGAAGATAGAGCAAGGAACATTGCAAGGGGGGCACGATTATTGAAGAATTCGGAACACCTTAAAAATTCCAGCGATGGGGATAGTTTGGAATATTATAAACCAACAGGTTGCAACACACCAAAAAAACAGTGGGAAGGGGAGCAGAGCCCTGGAGGGGAGATGAACCGATGGAAATGCGAGGAGGTTTTAGATCATTCGTCCCATATCCTCAGTAGCCCTTGCCACGAAAGGTCCAACAATATTTCCACATTGCCATTAGTCCAAGGCAAGCAACACCCAGTATTATTACCCCAACGAAATTGTCACAGCGATAAGATGGTGGAGGAGAACTTCAGGTATAGCAATTACAAAAGAACTATGATGAGTTTTAAAGAGAGACTCGAGAACACTGTGGAACGATGTGCGCACATAAATGGAAACCGGCCTCAACAGAGCAGAGGGTTTGGAGAGCTGCTGAATCCTTCTAAGCAAGACCTAGGCGTGGATGAACAGTCTCCAAGTTCCTCCAATAGTTTTGAAAATTCTCTGATTAAAGACTACATCCATTACAATGGAGACTTTAATGCCAAAAGCATTAATGGGTGTGTGCCTAGTCCTTCAGATGCTAAAAGCATCAGTAGCGAAGATGACCTAAGGAATCCTGATTCCCCATCTTCAAACGAGTTGATACATTACAGACCAAGGACGTTTAACGTTGGGGACTTGGTCTGGAGCCAAATTAAAGGACTGTCGTCTTGGCCTGGTAAATTAGTGAGAGAAGATGATGTTCGCAACTCATGTCAACAAACCACTGAGGATGGGAAGGTACATTTATACATATGTATACCTATATGACATGATCAAGATTTGTAGTAACATTTTTTTAAAGGTGGGAGGGAAATGGTATTGATTGCATTTTTCGATTTGCATCCCTCTCTTGTCTATAATTTTTAAAAGGTATTATTGCTTTGTATTAACACTTGTCAGCCTTTAGAATAGCTTAGGCACAGCACTGTCTTTTAAAAAATGCGTAAAATAGGAGACTAACATATATTCTACTGAAATTAAAAAAAAATGAGGCTCCATTCTGTACACTCAAATTAGGTCATGCTATTTTGATGCAATTTGAATATTCCGTAATGTCTAGGTGTCATTTTTATTTCTTTGTCTAAAGCAAATATTTAGGATTTTGTTCCATTTATTATTATAAATGTAAATGTTGCAAAGGTTTGCAGGAAAACAGGATTTTCAGAAAGGATTGCCTTACCTATTGGAAACCTGTGTCTGTTTCAGATAGCAGCAGGGTATTTTCAAAATACCCCTGCTGTCGGAAACCTGCTTTTCTGACAAGGGGGATAGCACCTTTTTCAGCACTGCTCCCAAACTCTGATATACATCCTTTTGGGGAACAGCATTTTGCCTCCCTCTGGAGCCATGAACTTTTAAAGCTGAGATAAAATAAGTCAAACTATCCTAAGCAGAATAAAAAGTATTCCCTACTTTAAATTCTTGATGCAGACTCCGAAAATGTTAATAGCAAGAAAGCCATACCATTATTTTCCCCCTTAAAACAGTTTAAAGCTGGATCAAGACACGCTCTGTGGTCACTAAAGAGAATAGGACAAAAACTGTCTTTGCAAGGCAAATCATTTCTGCTCTGGTTGTAATGTTTGTACATATACACCCTGTGAATTTCTACTCTGACCTGGTGCTTCTTACCAAGGGGCAGACTTTACTTTTAGAAGTTGAGAACCCTCAAGATTGTCTAATGAAACAGATTAGAAAGTGTGATTCTTATGATAATGACGGTTGAGACCAGACTTCAGAAGGTGCTTTATTACATGTTACCAGGGTTTAAATTATTCCCCACTCATTATTCAGTGTCCAGCTTAAATTCACAAGCTCTCTTCTACTACTGGTGTATTTTCCATTGTTTGCCATTTCACAATAGCAGTTCTTGCTCAGCTCATGTACACACATTAATACCACTATTCAGATTTCAAACACATTACCATTTCAATTCCATCTGTTCTTGTAACATTTGGAGATGTGTGATCCTGGTTTATTTGCAGTAATGATGATCATCATCACCATCATAGCCTTTATTTTATACATATCAAAGTAGCATACATAATGCTCCTGCCTTCTATTTTTCCCCAACAACCCTGAAAGAATGATGGCTTGAGAGACAGCTGAATTGACCCAGAACCATCCAGGTAGCTTTCATGTCTAAGGAGGACTAGCATTCACAGTCTCCCAGTTTCTAGTTTATTAGAAACCATACTAAACTGGCTCACCATTTGGAAAATATAATGTTTATGAATTACAAGAGGTTATTAGAGGCCACTTATCTATTCGTTGTTGTTAGTTGCAAAGTCATATCCGACCCATCGCAACTCCATGGATAATGTTCCTCGAGGCCTTCCTGTTCTGTACCATCCTCTGGAGTCCATTTAAGCTCATGCCTACTGCTTTGGTGACCCATCCAGCCACCTCATTCTCTGTCGTCCCCTTCTTCTTTTGCTCTCAGTCGTTCCCAGCATTAGGCTCCTCTCCAGTGAGTCCTAGCTTCTCATTAGGTGGCCAAAATATTTGAGTTTCATCTTCAGGATCTGGCCTTCTAAGAGCAGTCAGAGTTGATCTCCTATATCATAAATCTATTTGGTGGTAATATAAACTTCTTAAATATTTATTAAAGACAGCATTCTTTTCAGTATGTAAGTATCCTAAACATTTGTTTAAGCAAATTTAATTAAAGCCTTCAGGGTTAACAGGTATTAAATGTTAAAATAGATTGCATAAAAACTATTTTAAAGGAAATATCTATATAGAAATTTGTACTAACAATTTGCTGGTTTTGCATGATACATACAACATACTTGATTTCTGTCCATCTTGCTCTGTTTCGTTATTTATTTCACCAACTAATGTAAAAAAATTCAAATAAAAAACTTTTTAGTGTTAGACGATATCAAAAGTTAACATTTTCAGGGCAACAAGCATTCAATCATTTATCCAAAAACTGGGGGAAATCTGATAGTCTAAATGACTGTAGAAGAAGGAGTGGCAGAACATGTGGGCAGAGTTTTTTGTTTGTTTATAACATTGATTGACCACCCATATTATCAAAGGGTATCTGAGTTAAAAGAGGAATCAGGCATAGCTGCAAGCAAATTAAGTCCAATCTCCCTTGAATTCCATTGACTCTTATCTAACCCCAAGTAGGTGCTAACAGTGAGTTGAGAAGATTCCTGTGCTTAGGCATGATTAGTAATAAATCAGTTTAATTGGACCTTTACATGTGAAGCTGATCTTTCGTATCTGATATTAATTTTCTCAAATAGCTATTAGCATCTGCTTGGGATTATATAACAGTCAACAGAATTCAAGGGTGATGGTCTTCGTTTGCTTATGGCTACATAAGATTCTAGGCTGATCCATCTTGTAACTCTGCCCCCAGATTCTACCACACCTTCTACAATAATTTTCCAACAGAAATATAAGCTGAAGGTGATTTAAGTAAATAAAGTTTTTTTATGTTGTAAGGAGAAAATGGTAAACTGAATTTCATGTTGTCCAGGAATGGGGAAAAAAACAAGTTTACCTATATGTGTTGATCACTTATGATCAGTACCAAATCGTAATTATAAATAATCTAAATTGTAACAATTCTGACATTTAGTTAGAAGTCATTATATTAATTATATTATGACATTACAAATAATGAGCCAAGTAAGTGCAAATCTTCCTCTGCACATAACATTATTATATGGAATTTTGAAAAAAGATGCACCAAAAATTTTCCTGTTACTTTTGACTCCATAGCCACAAAATATATTTTACTAAGATATATTGAGCCAGTTTGCATTGTGTAATATTTGTTTCACGAATTAATGTGCATTTACAATTCATGCTTTTGTACTTATAAAGATTAATAAATAAACTACTAGGTGCCATACAGCAGCAACAGCTTCCAATCATCCTCTATGGTGAAGATATTTTGGAAGAGCTCTGTTTTAGCTTTCTTCCAAATGTCAATGGGGGTGCGGCCAATCTGACTTTGGAGAGATAGCTTATTTCAGAATGAGGCACCACGACCAAGAAGTCCTGCTTACAAGCAATGCCCATTCTCTTCTCATAGGGAGGGATCTGTAGCATGCCCTTTCAGCACAAATGTTTGGGATGGGTAGATTCAATCTACATTAGACAGTCTCCAAGGTAGTGAGGACCAAAGCCATAAAAGGTAATAGTTAGTGCTTTAAATTGGATTGGATTATTCTACTAAATTCTAGCCTATGGTTGTTAATATGTGGACTGCCACATTCTGTACCAATTGCATCTTTCAAAAAATAACCTCACTTATGGTGAATTGAGTAATATAAGAGAAAGTTGATAATTGCTAGAGTTTTGTTATAGAGTCTGATGAGCTAGGGATCGTTGCAATAGATGCCCCAGCTGAAGTTGGGAAACTTATAATGATTTCCAGCTACGGGTCTAAAAGAAGTTACAAACCTAGGAGGTGCCCTTGATTGCAAACTTGTTCCTTCAGTGATACTTGCATCTATCCAAAACTTGAGCACTTAAAACAATAAGCTTTCTGCACTAATACATCTTGTTGGGATTGATCTCGAGGCTTTTCCCTCAGAGTCTATAGAATCAACAGCCACACCCTCATCTATACCGGTTGGTGTAACAATGTAAACCTGGGTATAATCTTCATCATCCTTATATACATACAAATTGATGGATTTGTTCCTGCTGCAAGTCATCCATAAGAACTACCATACGATTTCTGTTCCATGACAGGGCCTGAATCTAGACTGAAAGATATTGAGATAATCTAATTTATATAGGGCCTTCATAATTGCTGTCACATTGTCTACTCAACAACCTTTTCCAAAAGATGAAATTGTGACAGCAATAGTTTTGGAAAATAGTGGATGGCCTTTTGAAGAATAGGTGCATAACTATCTTTTTCAGAACTGGGAGTATCACTCTATTCCTCATTCACTGCTTCCCTGTACCCTACCTCTCCTTCCTTCCATGGCAGCTTGAACCAAGACAGATATGGATGTAACCTACATGTGATGGAGCCCATCACACAGAGAACCTTATGCAATTTCTCAGCAGTCACACATTCAAGCAACTTCAGAAAACATTACCTTTGTGATTTCAACCGGTCCTGCCATGTTAGTATGTATTTCCTGCCAAATTTGTAATTTTGTTTACAACTACCTTAGTAGAAATGTTGCCACAACCTGAAGAAAACTTGACCAAATCACCTTTAGCGATTGATTGATTGATTGATTGATTGATTATTTAATGAGTGCGTGAGGATGCTTAACATATAATATTAGGAACTGTGGTGGTGCAGTGGTTAGAATGCAATACTGACAGGAGTTCAATCCTAATGGAGCTCAAGGTTGACTCAGACTTCCATCCTTCCAAGGTCAATAAAATGAGAACCCAGATTGTTGGAGGCAATGTCCTGACTGTGTAAACTGCTTAGAGAGGGCTATTAAGCACTATGAAGTGCTATATAAGTCTAAGAGCTATTACTATTGCTAATAAGTGCAGATATATAGGCATTTTGCTGCCCTTAGTGTTACACCATAGACACAAACATGTGTTCTCACACTTCTTTGGTCATATTTGTTTTTTTCTTCCTTTAATGACATTCCACATGCCTCTTTTGATGCTTCATCTCCCAGAACTCCTCAGGAAAACCAAATAGGTCTCTTGGATCTGCATAGTGGGAGAGACAACTTGTGGGCAATACTGCCAAGTATTTTTGCCATCTTCTGAGATCAACAGAGCACTCATTG